ATTTTTAAAAGCTGTCCACAAGTGTTAGAAACAGAAACCTTTTATGGTTTTTTTTTAAGGGAGAAAGAGATTCTTCAATGCAGTTTGTTCAGATTTAACTGTGTGAATGAAGAAAATGGAGGTATTTTGTTAGAGTGTAGCTGAATTATAGTCCTAATACACATCAGAAATACACCTTCCTAGTCTTGGTGACTTTTGCCCTCTTCTCTTCTGAAAGAGCATTTGGTTGAGAATGAGACAAAGTACTTAACAACCTGAAACACCAAAATATAAATTTTCAAACAGATCTGCTGCTTTTGTCTGCCAGGCTTTCTTTGGCAAGCTTGGGAAAGTACTTTTCCTTTGAGATCATCTTTTGCTGTTTTGATTAATAGATACTTCCATACATAACTTAACACTAACCTCTCCATCTTAAATTAGTATAATCCTTAGAAACATGTAATTGAAATTGTTATGCAGTTTCCAGCAGTGTCATTGCAGATGTTTTATTTGACTGAAGAGATAGTTTAAACTAGCTTTGCTGTTGAAGAAAATATTCACACAACTACAACTTAATACAGAACAAAATTCTGAAGAACTTAGAAAAATAATTATTTTTAAGAGAGATTCCAGTGACTCTCAGGCTCTCAAAGTCAAGTTAATACCAACAACCTTATATTCCTCTTCCCTGTATAAAAGGAAAAAAATCAATCAAGCCTAAAAGATTATATATGCTGAATATGCATGAAGAAAATGGAGACTCTCATTATCCTAAGGGACAAAACCTAATCACACACCCTCTGTTGGAAGCTCAGATGGTCTACTGGGAACCCAGTCTTCACATATGTAACACTTGCAAGCCTCTGGAGCCTGAGCTGTGTCTAGAAGCCCTTAAATCCCTGTGGCATACTCCCAAAGAGTACATTCTCTGTCTTGCATATCTCCTGAGATCAAGGACTTAAAATGCAGTTGCACGTCCCACGGCAAAGTACCAACTTGTCAGATTCTTCTCACATGCCAGAAATAGGAGCCTTGTGTTAGCCCTTTAGTAGCTACATATGCATAGTATCCAGAAGCTTTGGAAGAAATTGAGACATTGCCCCACTTACTTTAAAGACAAATTATAAGTTGTTACTGATGATTATAAATCTGCCAAAGGTAGGATCCCATCCATCCATTGTGAAGTACTTTACACAGATGTGATCTGTCTCTGGAAAACTCCACAAGCAGCAGCCTTCCCCAGTGACTGGACAGGCATTCAAACCATCTCAGGGGCTTCAACAGACCCCAGGAAGCTGTCTAGTACCTAGGTCAGGCGGGCTGAATCCACCCCTAATGCCTGAAAACTGTCCTTCATCTCATTGTTCCCTCAGGGTGTGTTTGTGTTCAGCTTCCCTTCCACACTGCTGAGCTCCTGAAGCAGAGATTTCTTCAGCCTAAGCTGCTAGAAATGGTTCATTATTCTTTTCTATAACCTTCTGGCTCCTCTGCCGGGTGACATCTTCTGTGCTGATCTGGAAAAAGCAGATCCTAGCTGGATGACTGTTGCTTCGGTGACCTGCTGCCTGTTGTACCATTATACAATATTATATTATAATAATTATATTATTATATTATTATATTATAATATATTATATTATACAATTGTACCTATTGTACCTGTTACTGAGTAACAGCAGCTGGCTCATTGCTTGAAGCAATTATGCTTCACTGATCCTGGAGTCACGTCCATTCCTCTGCTCAGGCCAACGTGCAAGGAGACAACAGAAAGAATAAAAACCAACCCAACCAAAACTGAGATGGCAGCTTTCCAACAGCATAGACATGACACTCACAAGTCATGCCTCACTCTACATCCTCCTTCTAAAAACTGGAAGTCCCATGAGCACTACTCACTTAGATTTATTAAGATATGGAATATTTAGGTCATGGTACTCCTTTCTTCTCTCTTCTCCAAGCTCTGTAGATATTTTACTGACTTAGTAAAGGCTAACTGGGAATTCATTTTTGCAGTGTTTGAGTGCAGGCACAGCTGTGCATGAACACCATCCCTCCTGCCAACATCCCCTGGCATAAGAAAGGGATGGTCAAGGGCCTCTAGAACCTTTTAGAACTTCACAGCTTCTGCAGACTCTTTGGAACGTAACTGGTAAGGTACAGAGGAATTGACAACACCTCCACCTATCGACTAAAGACTAAGCTACCAGCTTCCATGGTCGTGGGGGCATCACCCACCATTTACCTGCTGCCACATTTGTAACAACACACCTTTTTCAGGTAAAGAGGGAGGGATATGCATCAAGGTATTAAAAACAAACAAACTCACAAACACCAAAAATGAAAACAAAAAAAAAAACAAAACCAAACCAGAAAATCTAGGAATACAACAGAAACACGTATAGAGCTGGTAAAAGGGTTTAGTGAATGTATGAGCAAAATCTCATTGAGAGTATGCTTTACTAGGGAAGTCACAGCACACAGAGGGTGACTACTAGAGTCCTGTTACATAAGTTAGTTGCATATACTTTTTCCCAAATATGCCCTGCTATTTTTAATTACATCATTTAATACAATGCCTGTGCAGAAGTTTTCTAACACCTGTCCAAAGCCTTATAGTCTAAATAGATACTTCTAAAAACAGAGCATTTCTAACACAAAACCACAAGATAAACTTCAATAACTGTTATATTATGCTGGTGTGGTCAGGGTAAATTATATACTGTGATGACTTAAAAATGGAAAATAACTTGGAGAAGAAGCAGGAGCCCAATCAACTGCAGCATGACACAGGTAGGGGTCCCAGCTTGAAATTCTTCAGGACTGTTTGTGCACATGGTGGAATGCTCCAAAGTTTCATTTATCACATCTTTCTGCAACATCAGCTGTTTTCCTACAATTCTTCAGAGAAACTGAAAGTTTGATGAACTGAGTCAAGTACCATTTTTAAGGCTTCTCTTCAAGATAAAGACTTTAAAAAAAAAAGGCTGTTATAATAAAATACAGATTTTTTTTTCCTTTTGCAGAGCAGTAACTGAACATTTTATGACTTACACAGATTCCATCAGCACTTCTAATGACAGAAGAAACATTTCTAAAAAAGATAGGTTTCCCAAGAGGTTTGCACTGTGAGATGAGTATCCTTTCCAGATGAAAAACAATCATGTAAATAAATATGTCTTTAAAAAAAAGAACACTGTACCATCAGAATAAATCTGAGGCAAATATTTGAAAAAACCTGAATACTAGATGAACTTCCAAGCCCATCTTATTCACATGAGCACAAAATGCTTGCAAAACATATGCACAGAATGAACAATACAAGGACTGTGTGTGAATGAGTTGCTCATATTTGCTGTATAAGCATTAAGAAATTAATCAGCATAATATATTGAAAAATAAAAACTAGAGCTTCACAGATTATTAAAAGGATAAATAATACCCCATTTCTAGCAACCTGCTATAATTTTCTGCCTCAAACCAGGAATCTGAATTACTCAATTGAAGACACCCCCATGGGGCTATAGTAAAAAGCAAAGTCTTCTCAGTTATTTTTTAATAACTTGTTAAATATCAGCTTTTTAAATGATACTGTGTAAAAAAAGGGAAAAAAACCAAAGCTCCTGTAAGTGATTATTCTATGAAGTCTCCAAGATGTTTCAAATCAAGTTTCTAATACTTGGACTGCTATAACACTGAAGAACATTGAGCCAAGTCAGAGAACAGTTATGTGACTTTTCAGCCCAAGCAGAAAGAAAATTACATCTGTAAATTATGGTGTGAATTGTGAAGCAACACAGAGTAAGAATGAGAAGGGTTTATGACCTTAAGCAAATTTCTACTTACATCATGGAAAAGTTCAATACGTCAATATGGTTAAGGTACAAAGTGAAATTAGTTATTATTTCCACAAAAATAAATATAAAGCGTTTTTTCTTCAAATACATTAACTGTTCAGGGTTTTTTGATTTTTTTTAAGTATCACAACACATAGCACTTCCAAATTAAGTGCTTCCAGTTCATGTCTTCATGAATAAGACTTCTACATATTCAAAGTGATCTCAAAAAGGAGTAGCAAGCAAAGTGACAGAATTCACTACATGCTGCCCCTGTCTATCTTAGGCAGATGATGGTACACACAAATACATTATCAAGTTAGTCCTCTAATATTTTCCAGGGCGCTTTCTTTTGGGAGATATAATGAGAAGTTTAGCTGTAGATCTGAAGGCTAACAAAAATCTCTCTTCAGCACTAGCACTCAGTATCTGCTCAGGCTGGAGTGGTAAGAGACCAAAAGATATCAAATATAACAAATCAGTGGGAGCTCTACAGGTGGGAAGCAAAAGTATGGGCAAGCCAAAGGAGGACAAGAGGATAGGCTGCACAGATTCTACACACAAATATTCATGAACATGAGACATCACACACTCAGCAAAAAGGAGCTGGTGGAGCCAACACTAGAGCTAAAACAGTAACTTACGGAAAAGGCAGACAAGGGACTGTGCTGTGATACCTCCTTATGGTCTGAGGTGCAGAGAGCATCTAACCTACATCTGCAGTTTGTGTGCATCTTTCCTACCTAAAGAAGAATTCTCAAGGTAAAATGAATTTCTTCTTTACATCAGGAGTTTTTGCTTTTGCCAAGAATGAAAAGATCAGTTTAAACATAAAGCTGTAAGCTAGAGTTCCTCCACACTACCTACTGCAGCCTCATCTCAATTCCAAGCTTAACAGCATGTCTCTAATTACACATATCATTTCAGAAACACTACATTACACTGTATTTCACAGGGTAACTAATGTAGGCAGGTAGGCAATTGAGCTTTTCAACAGGCCAGGCAATGCTCTTTACTGCTATAAATACTCTTTCAACAGCACAAGCATATTACATGTACATTTAGGCTTAAATTAAGATTGAAGCTGTAGATACCAAAGCTTTATGTTTAATATTTGCAAACATCTCACTAGTGCCAGGATCGGTTTGAATGTCTTTCATCTACTGATAGAAACTTAATGATACTTACCTATAACTAATGTTAAAATTAGTGAATGTCTTTGAGCCTCTTCCAGCCAACAATGCTGAGGCTCTGCAGTATTTCAGTAGTCAGTGGTCAGATCTTTTACCATAATTGATGAAGGATGAATGAGTGTTCTGAAGATCTTCCTGTCCCTTCAGGGGTTTTCAACATATCTTTTATTCAAGTTAGATGAAATAGCAAAATTCTTCTAAGAACCAGCATGGCACACAGTTTGAATTTTTCCCAGATCTAGTCTGAGAACAATACTATGGAATATGGACTGTGGAATTATACCTAGATCCAATCATTTAACTTTGCAGATGTCCTTAGGAAGACAAGACTATATACATATAAAACAAATACCCTTCAGATTCATATGCAGCTGCCCTCTCAGCATGGTGGACCAGAAGGATGCAATGTCCATTCACCTGTAGGTAGAATCATGCTTTAGTGCTCCTGATTGCCACTTAGAGAACTGTATTTCCTTTTGGCACTTACTTTTGATAGCAACAAATCTTCCCCAGATGCAATAACTTGAGTTGATTACACTAAAAGAACCAAAACTGTTTCCAAACATTTTCATGAGAAATAATTGTGTCTGAGCAGCAGCAGCTGCTGAAACTTCTTATACATGTAAATGAGTACACATTCTCTTCTCAGTCTTATCTTTAGATATTTTTCAGGTAAGCTTTATGCCACGTTGTGAATCACAGAATGACAAGGTTGGAAGAGACCTTCAAGATCACTGAGTCCAGCCCAGCCCTAACACCTCAACTGGACCATGGCACCGAGTAACACATCCAGTCTTTTTTTAAACACATCCAGGGATGGTGACTCCACCACCTCCCTGGACAGACCATTCCAGTACTTTATCCCTCTTTCAGTAAAAAACTTTTTCTTAATATCCAGCCTATATTTCCCTTGGCACAGCTTTAGTCTGTGTCCTCTTGTTCAGTCAGCTTCTGCCTGGAGAAAGAGACTGACCCCCACCTGACTACACCCACCTTCAGGCAGCTGTAGAGAGTTGTAGAGAGTGATAAGGTCACTCTATTAACAAGGAACTGCCTTATGTGTATCCCAATCAGAAGAAAACCCTGTAACAGGCACATTTCAAGTGAGGAGGAGTAGCACGGGTTTGAAACTTTGACAGGAAATGTTTAGTGCCTTGGGGGAAATGTTTGCTACATGCCCTTCTATAATTTAAAATGTGCTGAGCTCAGAGGACAAGAAAAAGATAGTATATTATCTGGGGGGTATTGTCCACAACTGCAAAAAGGGGAGATTACAGGGGAAGTTCTGCTTCTGTATGCTATATACAAAACTCTGTTTTCAAAAATTCCACTGTTCTACAATTCCTAGCTTTTTTCACATTTATGCTGTAGAGCTGCATTGTAGTTCACTGCACTACAACAGCTGGGATATTCCTGTATATAAGTGGTTTGCCTATCTTGGGATGACAGAAGCCAAATAAAGAGTGTACTTCAAGAATATAATTCCTGATTGAGGATGTGTTTTCACTGACCTCATTGGACAATGGACTAGACCCAGAAACATGATTAATCCCAGAAAGAAAGTTAATCAGTTAATGACATTCAAGACTTTATTTATTTTCCCACTGCCTTCAAACCATCTCTGTTTAGAATTTGTTCACATTAAGGTAGTGTGGTCACTCGTTATCCCTTGAGAAGGTCTCTAGCAAGCAAGGATTTTCAATGGAAAATTATGAGGACACCAGTCTTCCTCACCTGCCTTTGGTGGCTTGTGTAGGACCCCATAGCTGTGAAGTTATCCCAGAGAGACTCTTGCTGCATTCACCCTTATGTGAATACAGCAAGCTTCATGATCTGAAACAACTCCTGGTAATTTATTTCATATTTCTCTCATGTAAATATTAGAGATATTTCAGATTACATACAAACAGCATGGTCCCAGACATTTCACAACTTTCCTCTATCCTCCAGAGATTTCAGGGTATCCTGTGTCAAAACAATACACCACACAAAGTCTTCTTCCATCTGCCAAAGACATCCTTCCTCCAGGCAGCCCTGCTCTCCGTTCATATGGGGAAGCACATCAGCAAATCACTCATCCCTGCTTCCCACATCCTTCACTAATATTGTATTTGGGAGCCTCTGTGTCTGGCTGAATAAACACATTTTGCACAGGACTTGGAAAACACTAAGTTGATCAGATTTAACACCTTTATATAGATCAGATGAAAAATGCTTTCCTGGACAACAACTATTAAAAAAGTACAAGTAATCACTGCAAATAATCTTCAAACTTTAGTACTATAAACTTCCAAGCAAGACACTACAAGCAAACAGGATTTCAAAATATATCTAAAAGGCAAACCTTTACCCAAGTCACTAACATTTTAAAGCAAGAATAATGTGGGAGCTCTAGGCATTTAATAGGAATCCTCTTATTTTGGACAATAATAACATATAATGCAGCCTATAGCTATAACTGAGCAAGGATTCTCCTCTCTCTGCTCCTATGCATTTTTTGTAGGAGAGGATTTTTGTGCAGTAACTGTGAGTTGCCAGAATCTGTTTTGCAGCTCAGAACTCCCCATACAATGTCCTGCCCATTCCCTCTAGATCATTCTCCTGCCATAATTTAAGTTGAAGCTTGTCAGTGTCTGATACTTTCTTTTGCACATGGCCAAAGGCTAGAAAACTCCAGGTAATGCACAAGATTACCTGGAGAAATAGTTCTAACAGTTTGTCTTTCAAAAATTCCATATCATTTCTTTTCCAATCTACAAAGAACTGAAATATTTATGTAATTCTTTTCAGAAGGGCACTTGGTACAAGCTCCAGTGTTTATGCTATTAAGGCATATAGATTTAAGGAGCCCTTCAAGAGACAGGAGAGTTATACACTGAGATTCAAAAAGTTGAAGATGTTTCCTATTGAAATATTGACTGAATGAATCTGGGATGAATTAGAACTATCCCACTTCATGTCATTCATTTGCTAGGAGAGAAACATGGTAAAATTTCAACCTTGACCATTAAACACCCCAAATTCTTTGTTCATTATCTGCAAGTCCATCCACACACAGAAAATACTGTAGAACAGTTAAATTGCCTCGATAGCATCAGTGATGAACAGAAATCTTATTTAGTCTAAGTAAAAAAGTAACTGATTCCTTAGCAAGTCATTGCAGCAGTATGAACTCCAAAACTTAGTCAGAAACCAGACAATGCTTTTCTTCCTGTTCCATCATTTTCTTACTTGTACTTTTTTTCCTAGAGGCATTCTGTTCTGATTCCAATAATAGTATCTTACCCTGTTTTCACCACGGTTTTATCCATAGAATTAAAATATCCAGGAATACCCAGAACATCAGTTATCTTATTTGTGAATAATAAAAGGAGTTGATGTGAAAGCCCCTGGAAAGGAAAAAGACAAGCTGAAAAAAACCCACAATCCTCTGAAAAGAGTGCTTATCCTGTGTGTGCACATTCACTATGAGATATAAATATTCATTTCTTTTTTCTTATTATACTGACAAGGACAAACCTTTTTCAGAGGTAGGTAGCTGATTTTTCATAGAATCATAGAACGGTTTGGATTGGAAGGGACCTGAAAGATTATGCAGTTCCAAACCCCCTGCCATGGGCTGGGACACTTTTCACTAGAGCACATTAATCAAAGTCCCATCCAGGCTGGCCTTGAACACTTCCACAGATGGGGCATCCACAACTTCTCTGGGCGACATCTTTCAGTGCCTCACCGTGTTCACTGTAAAGAATTTCTTCCTAATACCTAATCTAAATCTGCTCTCTTTCAGTTTAAAGCTATTTTTCCTTGTCTTACCACTATATGCAAAAAAATCCCACTTTGAGGCTGAAGGGGAAGCAACAAATAGATGTGCCAGTTCCCTAAAACTGTAAAAGAAATTAACATGTTTTCAGACACAATGATCCTCAGCTTGATCACAAAAAGACAATAGGAAATTAACTGCAATTGCCCTGGGGTAGCTGGACTTGATGGAGTTATTCTGGTGTTAAGAGATTGATCATGACCTCCACACTGATCCTGCACAATGATGGTCATACCTTGGTCTAGCAAGATGAAGCTTCTGTCACACCAGGGAAGGTAGTAGTGATCACCTTGTGCTGAAAATAACTCAGGCATATGCACAACCCCAATTAAGATGTACAGAGTAGGCAAAAGGAAGTCCTGCAGTTAGAAGTGGAAGTATCCAGATATTTTGATCTTCTCAGTCAAAAATCAAGATATTGGTATAGACACAGACGTGCTTACCAGACTTCAGTGGCTGGGGAGATTGTACTTGCTTATAACTAGCATTAAAAATAGCATAAGAAATTAACTCTGGCAGGTATTTTTAAAATGTTGCAGATGCAACAAAACTCACAGTTTTAGGGTTCTATATTTCAACACTTTCTTGTTCCCCTGCTGGAGCCATATTAGTCAACAAATTCACTTTGATGCTAATTTGTCCTTTGCCAATTCACTTAAGTACTTCTTGTCACGTCCATTGGACACAAGCAGTATTTAGGTATACACAAAGAAAATGAGGTAAAGGTGGTGAGACAAGAAACAGGGAAGGGAAAGTGTGCTTTTCATTGCACACATTGCACACAGATGCACCTTTTATTCCAGGTCCTACTGCTTTCTGTCTGCTCTCCTGGGATTTCACGCTCTGCTGGCCAGAATGCCAGCTTCCCATTGTTACTAGACAGCAGTTGTGCCATGCTGTGAGTTTAGAAATTCATGAATCTGTAATGCGAGGCAGGGACAGCTTTTCCTTACTGTTTAACTCCAGCGCTGCACAAAGGTCACAACACCAAAAGCCTGCTGGAATTAAGTGGTAACTTTTGTTTTAAAGCACTAAGGGATATTATGATAGAAAATATTAAGGGATATTAAAAAACAAATGAAGCTGTTGTGTTTTACAAAGACTGCAGCCCAAGAGTGACTGATGTAAAAGAGGGTCTACTTACAAGACATTCAACTCTCCCCAGAAGGAACTTGGGGAGAACTTCCCAGATAGAGGGAATCAGAGCCATGTTTATCTGGGACTTTCTCCCCTTGCACCTAAGGCTTTCATATCTCCTTTATTCTTTACACCCAAACTTCCTTACTACACTCTTTTCTTTACCTGATATAAACTGGACAGGATTTTGTTCGTACTGTTTACGAGGAGACTACAATGAGTTTTGATACAGAGCAATGCCTCTCTCACATCCTGCGTTGTGCACTGCAGCCCGTCTGTATTTTACTGTTTG